TAGAAATAACTCCAAGGTGGGTGCGTGCGGCAGGTTCCAGACCTGAAGGATGGTTTTGCGTACCACCACTGCTAGGATAAGGTGGAATCGTAATTTATTAGGCAATGGAAGTCCTGATAAGGATCCAAAAAACAAAAATTCAGGGGTACCTAAGGTAGGCATGCCGCCTCTATCTAAGTAACTGTTCAGTTCAGTCCAGAGAGATTGGATTAGAGCACACTCCCACAGACATTGATACAGGTCAGTCTTGGTGTGTGTACATTAGAAACAAGTCGCAGTCTCCCTTCTGGCCATGAGATGGAGTTGGTGAGGGGAGTTATAAGCATAGTGTAGAGTTTTAAGGAACATGTCCCTATAAGACACCATTGGTAGTGTCTGGCTATGGGTAAAGTGTGCAGTGAGCATGTCTCCCGGAGTTATGTTCAGAAAATGTGTCTTCCACTTCACCATGCCTGTTTGTAAGCTGCTCCAATCCAGGATATATCGCAGTATCTTATAGAGTTTGGAAATGGAGTTAGAAGAGCACAACATGGCATCTAGAGGGTTCTCCCAGTCAACAGGCGTGAAGTGTTGAGTAATTGTGTTATAGTAGTGTCACAGGCGTGAAGTGTTGAGTAATTGTGTTATAGTAGTGTCGTGTTTGAAGGTAAGCAGACTATGGAAGTGGACGGCCTGGACAATGCTTCCATAGCTAGCAAGGGACAGAAACCTCTGGCCAACATGATCTACAAAATGCCGGAGGGTGGCAATCCCACTCTCCGCCCACACCGTGAAAGGGTGGTGAGCACCTGGAAAAAAGTCCGGGTTATGAGTTAAAGGGAGATGGATGGTGCGTATTGGGTCAGCACCTTATTTGGAGCGGGAATGTTTCCAGGCCCTGATAGGGGTAGCCAGGAGGGGATTAGATAGGACAGAGTCAGGGAGTAGCTGGTGCGGCCTGTAAAGGATAGCCACGAGTGGGTTCGGTGATGCAGGATAGGACTCCAAGGACAAGTTAGAAATTCTGTTTTGGGATTGAATCCAGTCTAGTGCATGCCTAAACTGTGGTGTCAAACTGTATTCCCCAGCATTAGGCAGGTTTAGACCACCATCAGCCCTGTGCTGGTATAATTTAGTAAGGCTAAGTCGGGCCCTATGTCCCTCCCAGAGAAATTGTCTAAGATATTTGTTCAACAAACACTCGTCATTTTTCGAGAGGAGTATTGGGAGCACCTGGAGCGGAAATAACAGTTTAGGAAAACTGACCAATTTGTATAG